AAACACTAAAAAAAAAGCTACTAAAGGATATACAAGTATTCTATAAAAACAAGAGTAAGCCAAGAAGACATGAAATATGAGATTGTATATTTGAGAAAGGCAAAGGGAAGCCCCTAGGAATCTGATGACAACGAACTCTAGAAAACAGAGAAGACAAACCTGTCCTTATCAGTACAAAGAAGCAGACACATTGAAAGCAGACACACTGCAGGCCATCACTAAGATTCCTGCTATCTTTTTTTTTTAATAATAATATTTTATTGTATTTTTGGTTGAAAGCTTATACAGCAACTTGGGTTCCCTTTTAACATTTTTTATACAAACTCTTTTATGACATTGCTTACAATTTTCACAATGTGTCTCATTGTCATTAGCTCCATTCTGTTTGTTTGGTTTCCCCTGATCTAGCATCTCTTCCCCTCCTTGTCTTCTCACCTTGTTTTGGAGTAAATGTTGAACATGTGGTCTCATTGTTTGAGGAAGCACATAATTCATGGGTGATACTGTTTATTTTGTAAAATAATCTATTATTTAGCTGGAAGGTGACCCAGAGAGATAGCTTCAATTTCACATTCAACTTATTTTAAGGTAATAGTCTCTAGGGGTTCCTCCCATCTCTTTTGGTCCAGTAAGTATAGCCTTTTTAAGGAATTAGTACTACATTTTATTTCCATCCTATCTGGGACCTTCAATTGTGTCGCTTGTCAGGATGCTAAGTATTGGTTGCTGGGCACCATCTAGTTCTTCTAGTCTCAGATTTGTGAACAGTTTGTAGTATTTATGGGCTAGTAGTTCCATGGATTGGTTTTTTGTTTGATTCTTTGATTTCCATCACTCTCTTTTACTCCATATGAGTCAAAACCAACAGGTGTATCTTAGAATGCCACTTGCAGGTTTCTAAGACCACTGACACTACTCATCAAACTTGGATATAGAACATTATGTTTCTGAACTATGTTGTAACAATTGACAAAACTGTCTCTAGACTATGGTCACAAAGCCCTTGAGCCAGTAATCCAATCCTGAGAGTTTTTTTTTTTTTTTACTATGTGTAGGAGAGTCCTATCTGTGCAGTTTGTTATATATGTTGATCTATGCAGCACACACAAATGTATAAATACATATGCCTAGATATACCTACGGAGTCCTGGTAGAGCAGTGGATTAAGCGTTGGGTTGCTAACCTAAAGGTTGGTGGTTCAAACCCACTAGAAGGTCTATGGAGAAAAGATAAGGCCGTCTGTTTCCATAAAGATGTACAGCCTTGGAAACCCTAATGAAAAGTTCACTCTGTCCTACTGGGTCACTGAGTTGGAATTGAGTCTATGGCAGCCCTGGTGACACTGCTAAGTAAGGCATTGGGTTCTTAACCACAAGGTCAACATTTCAAACCCGCCAGTCATTTCTTGGGAAAAAGATGACTCTGTCTGGTTCCGTAAAGACTTACAGTCTCGGAAACTGTTTATGAGTCAGAATGAACTTGATGATAATTAAGTTTGGTTTAATACATACATGTGTATTTATTTACTCATGAATGCCTTTTAACACTTAACATGCATTCATAACTAACCATTTTTTATGTGAACCAGTTTTTACAGTAGGGTAAATCAGCAAAAGTCATTATCTGTGTCGGTTTCTCTAAAAAGGGTTCAATCCTCTGCCTGGCAGTGGCCAGAGAAAAGTGGGAAGAGAGACCAAAGTTTCTTCTTTTCAGTCCCTACACCTCAGCTCCACACTCCACCATACCTGGAATCCTCAAATCAGGAGCCTCTCAAATTCAGTTTCTCTAGATAATATACCAAGGAACTTTTACAGACGCCTCACTGAGAAAGGTTGTCACTTGTCTATGCAGAATGAAGAAAAAGACCTAAGGATTCCAACCACTCAATATACAGACTTTCTACAATCCACTTGCTTTCAACCATATGCTTCATCTGCTGCTCTATAAATAATTTAGTCCACTAAGGAGCAAGCCTTCCTGAGGATCTGTAGGGCAAGCACTGAAAAGTCCATCTCTCTGTTAAAACAATTATTAGTTCTCCATTAAAGTAGCAGAAATATGTTTTTAATTCATACAAAGCTTATTAATCCTCAAAATGGAATGACTCCATAAACTGAAGAAATTCTGTATTAATTAATACTACAAAAGCAACATCTCCTAGATTACATTTTCAATCTCTCAAGAGAGTCTCTACAATTCTGTCACTAATAGTTTAGTTTCTATACCTTCGAGGGTCCAGTTCGTGGTCCTTGGATCCAGTCACTAATTCCGGATGAATTCGCACATGCTCCATCATTGGCTAGAAGAATTTGGGTTGACAAATTTAAAAAGGCTAAATTTCTTTTGTGATATATCTATCTACACAACAGAATATTATCTGGCAATAAAAAGGAGCGGAGTACTGTTACAATATGGATGAATTTTAAAATCATGTTATGTGAAAGAAACCAGTCACAAAAGAGCATATATTATAAAATATCAGTATGGTATATCCACAATAGGCAAACTGATAAGGAGCTCTGGTAGCGCAGTGGTTACAAATCGGGTTGCTAATCTCATGGTTAGCAGTTTGAAACTACCAGCTGTTCCACGGGAGAAAGATGAGGCTTTCTGCTCCCATAAAGATTCATAGCCTCGGAAACCCTGTACAGGGTCGCTCTGAGTTGGAACCGACTCCACGGCACATAACCACAAGGCTGAGGGGAGGAGTCCTGGTGTGGCACCAGGAGTCCTGGATTAACACTGAACCTCAAGGTCAGTTTGAACCAAAGGTTAGCAGTTCAAATTCACCAGTAGCTCCTTGGAAACCCTATACAGGGTCGCTATGAGTCAGAACCAACTTGACAGTACTTAACAACAACAACAGGCTGAGTGGTAGAGAAACTCAAGGGAAATGGCAAGTGACAGCTAATGGACACAGGATTTCTTTTTGGAGTGATGAAAATGCTCTAAAATTTTCTACTCTGTATGATTATACTAAAAAACACTGAACTGTATGATTTAAATGGACAGATTATAAGGCATATGACTTATATCTCAATAGTTATTACTACTGAAAAAAATGGCATTTCTTTAAAAAAATTTCATGTTGATTACTTAATCCAAAAAATTACAAATGTAGCCTGTCTGAACAGCATGCTATCAAATCAGCAAACAGTAATTTAATTTACCCTGACTACTTCTTCAAAAGTCTCCAAGTTTTCCTTCATACTGTAGTGAGAACGTAGAAAGGAGACAAAGTTGCAAGGGTACATTCCATAAAGACGATGAAAGAGCGCATAAACACTGGCATGGAGATGGACAAGGTAGATTTCTGTCACATGGCCTAAAAAAGGAAACCGTTTAAAGGAGACTCTTAGTTGGACACAAGATTAGTGTATGCAAAATAAACACAAACACAGCTGTCAGCATAACCTTTCATTTACTCTTTTTCACTCCAAAGATAGCAAGTCAGTGGCTTTCTAAAATGCAAATCTGAACCCACTAGACAACCTATTTAAAATCCATCAGTGGCCGTCCCTTAAACAAACAATAAATAAGGAGGATTCGGATGCAGACCGTGCAGACCCAGTCAGGAGG